TTTTTAAGAGATAGGGTTTTCTGTGTCACCAGGCTGGAGTGCAGTGGCATAGTCAAAACACACTCCAGCCCCAAATTCCTGGGCTCAAGCCATCCTCTCGCCTAAGCCTCACAAGTAGCTGGGGCTGCAGACACACACCACCATGACTGGCTAACTTTTACTTTTTAATTTTTTGAAGTTTTAAAATTTTCTGTAGAGATGAGGGTCTCACTGTGTTGCCCAGGCTGGTCTCAAACTCCTAGCCTGAAATGATCCTCCCAACTTGGCCTCCCAAAGCCCTGGGATTGTCAATGTTAGCCACCACACCCAGCCCAATTTAATTCTTGTTTTATCATTCTTCTCTGCATTTTGTAATTCCTGTACCATGAACCTGCTTTAGTTAAGTAAGAAACAGTTAAGTGGGGGAGGAGAAATAAAACTAAACCCCTAAATAAGCCCCTAAATGTGGGGTCCAACATGAGGTTTTACAGCTGGGAAAAGGTAAGAGATCTTGTAGTTCAAAGTATACATACCCATTTTTTAATTAAACTTTTTAAATTTTTTATTTTGTTTTATTTATTTAGAAACAGTCTCACTCTGACCCCCAGGCTGCAATGCAATGGTACAATCTTGGCACACTGCAACCTCCGCCTCCTGGGTTCAAGTGATTCTCCTGCCTCAGCCTCCCGAGTAGCTGGGATTATAGGCATGCACCACAATGCCCGGCTAATTTTGTATTTTTAGTAGAGACAGGATTTTACCATGTTGGTCAGGCTGGTCTTGAACGCCCGACCTCAGGTGATCCGCCTGCCTCAGGTTCCCAAAGTGCTCGGATTACAGGAATGAGCCATCATGCCTGGCTTCCAGCTTTATTCTTTTTGCTTAGGATTGCTTTGGCTATTTGGATTCTTTTTTTTTGGTTCCATATACAGTTTAGAATAGTTCTTTCTTCTTCTGTGAAAAATGATGTTGGTAGTTTGATGGGAATAGCATTGAATCTGTAGATTGCTTTGGGCAGTATGAACATTTTAATGATATTGATTCTTCTAATCCATGAGCATGGAGTGTTTTTGCGTTGTTGGTATCATCTCTGATTTATTTCAGCAGCACACCATTTAATAGCTTAACAACCTGAGGCCCCAAGAGGAAAGGTGATTCGGCCAGTCACACAGTAAATTAGTGGCGGAGCCCAGACTAGAATGGGGGACGGTGTGAGTTGGAAGGGAACTTTGAGGTTCTTAGGGCAGCCTTTCCTGAGGCAACTCCCCTCAGACGAGAAGGAGCCTATTGTTAGATGTTTGAAACGCGCTGAAGTAAAGAAAGCTGCACACATTTTATTATCCGAGAACTTCTCAGAGTTTTTCTTGTTGTTGTTGTTTGTTTGTTTGTTTTTTTGAGACGGAGTTTCACTCTTGTTGCCGAGTGCAGTGGTGCGATCTTGGCTCACCACAACCTCCACCTCCGGGATTCAAGCGATTCTCCTGCCTTAGCCTCCTGAGTAGCTGGGATTACCGTTGTGCAGCACCACTCCCGGCTAATTTTGTATTTTTAGTAGAGACAGGGTTTCTCCATGTTGGCCACAGTGGTCTTGAGCTCCCAAAGTCAGGTGATCTGCCTGCCTCGGCCTCCCAAATTGCTGGGATTACAGGTGTGAACCACCTCACCTGGCCCTCAGAGTTCCTGACACATGGGAATGCCTTGGCTACTCCAAGAAATGCCTGCAGCGTGTAGGGCCCTGTGTTACTTTCAAGAGCCCCTTGAAGGACATTAACACCTATTCAAGCCCTCCCTGCTCTCAGACAGAGAAATGCTATACCTTAGATAGACTCCTAGTTGCTTTTAAAAAATAGGTTTCTAGATTTTTTTTCCACAGGTGCTTGTCATTGTGCAAATTATTGTCATTGTGCAACTTGTATGATTTAAAAAAAATTTTTTTTGAGGCAGTGTCTTGCTCTGTCACCCAGACTGGAGTGCAATGATGCAATCTTCAGCTCACTGCAACCTCTGCCTTTCAGGTTCAAGCAGTTCTCCTGCCTCAGCCTCTCAAGTAGCTGGGATTACAGGCACCCACCACCATGCCCAGTTAATTTTTGTATTTTTAGTAAAGGTAGGGTTTCACCGTATTGGCCAGGCTGGTCTCAAACTCCTGACCTCATGATCCACCCACCTCAGTCTCCCAAAGTGCTGGGATTACAGGCATGAGCCACTGTGCCAGGCTGATTTTTAAAATTATATTACCAAATTGTCTGTAGCTTGTATGTAGGAAGATGGTTGACTTCATAAATCTCATTTCTCCTTTGTTTAAAGAAATATTACAAATATGCAGAAAAATATAGAGAATAACATTATGAACATTGATGTATCCACCACTCAGTTTTGTCAGATCTTATGACATGACCCTGTTTTCTTTGGATTTTGTTTGTTTGTTTGTTTTAATGACAAATTAGCCATTACACTTAGAGTTGAAGCCCCTTGTCTTCCTGATCCCGTCACCCTGCCACCCTTCTCAGGGGTGATCGTGGTCACCATTTGTATTTATCAGTACCAGGCACATTTCACAATTCTACCGTACATGGCTATATAAGCAAAGTAACATACTTTGCTTATTTGGAAAATTTATTTTAATGATATACTGTATATATCCTGCAGCAAATTCCTTTTTTTACTCCTCATAATAGGTTTCTGGATCTTTTCATGATGATACAAGTTGCACCAGATCACTCATTTAAAATGCTGCCTCCAAATTCAAGTGATTCTCCTGCCTCAGCCTCTCAAGTAGCTGGGATTATAGGCGCCTGCCACCATGTCCAGCTAATTTTCGTATT